CTGAACGTCCATTAGTTGGCAGATGTGCTCGTATCAACAAAGATATGAACGTCCTCCTCTATGTATACGCAGTGGAAAATCCCGTTAACGAGCACCACCACGTTTATCAACGGCATTTTGGATCAATTAACTAATGAACTAATGGATTTATGGGTGAGGAATTAACAGACGCACGGCTGAGCTCTAGCCAGCTTTCCCCAGATGTATGTTTTCAAGCATCAAGTGTTAGTATATTTGTTTTATGCGTGAAATTATGTGGTCAATTGCACGTAAGAAAAGAAACATTTTTTTTTGGTATTTCATGAAATATCAAGAATGTTTTGAAATGCTAGGGTATTATAAATTTATCTGGGAAGTACAATCAACTATGTATTCAACGAATAATGACAGAATTTTGAGGGTAATTTAACTTTATTTGTAAAACCACAAAAATCTCTAGCTTCTATGGGTATAATTATTTATGTACTTCTGGAAAACAAAGGTATATTATTCACTGTTAGTTATATTTATGTCTGTATCTAATTAATTAGTGCTTTCTTTTTAACTCGTTCAAGATAATCAATTTAGTTTTTTTTAACTTCCAACAACATTTCATAGAACATAATTATTATAATTTATTCACTTGACATTTTTGTTTTGATGTCAATCAATTTTGTGTTAACTTGATAAGAAAATAACTTGTTAATGGAAACTAAGCTGTTGTTCTTTTATTTAATACTTGTGTACGTAATTATAACATGACTTTATATAAAAGTCTGACAAACTTACAATCTACAGCTATTTTCTCCACAATATCTTTACCCCTGTTCTTGTCTTTTATGCAACGTAGTATAATACCTGTGCTAAACTATATCACGAAGTCATTCATCTTTGATCAAAGAACAATATAAACTTCTGCAAAAGGAGATAATGAAAATTGGAAAGTATAACTCATCAAGATAATTATTTTCTCCCATGAGCTTTTTTTTTATAATGCAAACCAATAACTGTGCTGTAAAGTTCATCATAAATATTCCAAGGTTGTAAAATATAAGAAAGTATGGTTTGAGTAGTAAAAAAGATACAGTTTAGTGATACAGGTTTCTCTCATCCAAAAAGTTGCTGATATTAACTAGGGTGAATGATATTTTCTAATGTGAAAGCTGAAGAAAGAAATTAATTTGACAAAATTACCAATTAATTCTTCATTGATATTAAATTTTGTTTGCTTGTTGAAGCAATGAAAATCTAATACAAAGAGCTGTTCTTGAACTTTAAGGAATGGTAGCTCAAATGAAATAAATTGTAAAAGCAAATAAAACATTTAGGAAAGAAGATCGGTATTTTCCCCACACTGTACTTGAATTTTTTATATCATTTTTCAAGTTCACCAAAGTTTTTTAATTCCATAAAACATCAAGGGTTTGTCATCCCATCTCAACTAAACAAACTTTTTATCCAAACTCTAGTACATTTTTCCATTAATACCATATTATTTACAAGTTACATCGTTGTAACAATAATTATAGCTCAACTAGTTCTTTCCTTGTGGTAACCTAATATGACAAACTCATCTAGCACATAAAAACTTTTGGGATCTGGTTGATGTGTATTCAAGCGCACATCTTAACAACGTGACTTCCGACCCTAAGAATATCCCAAAGCAAACATCTACAAAGACCAAAGAGCAAGCTAACTTGGAGAGTACCTGCTCCAGTAGAAACTATCAACATGGGTAGTACATGATCAAGTTTTAGATTTAATATGCTTTGTCATTTGGTAGATGCTGAGATCAATTGGATTCCTTTATATTCAATACCATTCAGGTTTTCCAATTCATATTCTACCAACATTTTTGTTATCCATTTTTATTATATTTTTCACCAATTTGTTGAGATTCAAATTTGATTCCATATAAAGGTGAGAAATAGAATTCCATTATACTTCTAGCCTTTATTCCTTCTTCCAGGTATACATAAATATATGTATGGGTGAGCATCATTTTTTATGTAATATCTCTGGAAGATTTTATTATCAATGATAAGGGACGGATGTGTAGATTTATTTGTACAAAAAATACAGCATAGTCAAGTCGAAAGATATGAGAGACGAGAAAAAAGAGATTTTTAGGTCACAAACTGATGTATAGAAGCGGACAATAGTCATATTGTCAGTGTTTTTATATAGGCTTGAGTAAAAGCAGAAGAGTTGTGTAGAAAAATGAGTTACGAAGTGAGATAATTCTAAGGATCTGTTGGTGATTTTTATTGTTGTCTCATAACTCGCTGATATAATTGACATCAAATGATGTACATATCATGAGGATAATGTTAACAATAGACGTCCAAATATTGGAAACTTTAGCAAAATAATTATGACGTAAAAAGTTAATTAATTGGATATCATCCAAGAACTTCATCTCTTTCACGATATATCAATATCAATAAAATCTCAATTATGTTCTCTTTATTTTATAAAAAAAATACACAAACTTGCTTCTAGAACCATTAAAAGTTATTTACATTTCTGTTATAGTATGCAGTAGTACTTTATATAATATTTTTAAGCTGAAACCGTGATATTTTCTGTCCCTCGTGCACTTCACTGCGCCTTCAGGGATGCATACAGTAATCCTTTTCCGTGTTTTTCTTGAAAAAAAACTCGAAACTTTCTGTCCCGGATGCTAATAGAAAAATAAACGGATAAAGTTTTTCTTCACATCAAGTAAATCTTTATAGCAAATTATATGTATATATGCCTAAGTTCACACTGCGATAGGTAAAAGAAAGAAGTATGATGTTTGAAATAATACAATAAATTATTATTTTCTATTTTTAAATTTTCTCGAATGTTCCACTTTGTCTATTCTTTCCCTATAGATAATAATTTTTTAAACCAAATACAACTTAATAATAATTTTATCACATACATATATATATAATGTCTAATACTTGATTAATCTATTTTAATAATCAATTAATGTCTTTACATAATTAATTTTGACTATTTTTTATGAAAGTACATTATGCATAATTAAATAAATTTTTAAGCATTCAATATATTAATAAATATTTATATTGTTTTTAAATATCAGATTTTGAACATCTTGATAGAAAATCATTTCTATAAAATTGTAATGAATAAAATAAAATTTACAAATTTACACAATTAATCTACGGTTTGAATCAGCACGAACTCTTAATAAAAATAATTAATTTTATAATTGCAGATTAAATAATAACATTTTGTATATACCATAACAGAAGAAAATATTGAGTTAAGCATAAAATAACTGTTTTTATTAATGATTTTAATTAAATTGATTAATTGTATGTATATTTTATAATATTAATTAATAATACTACATTCAATATGCTACTAAATAACAACCCATATTTCAAATAGTAGTAATTAATTAAAGTATTATTCTTTTGTATATTATATTCTAGATAATATATTTTACTTACGTGACATTTTGCACGTGTAATTCCCACAATTCAAATAATATCCCAATAAAATGTTATCATTTTTACATTTTTCCCATTCTCTGCTTCGCTCAAAACCTCGGAGCTCATTTATTTTATTATTTTGACTTCAATTGAAAAAATAAAATAAAAAATTGCGTATTTCAGTATCAATTGATGTTATATTAACAAATGGAGCGATTGGTAAAAATTTTTCAAACGTAATATTCTTTCAATATCTATGTGTTTTTCTATTTAATTCATACAATATTCCAGTTTATTTAAAAAAAAAAAATTCATGGTAATAACTTTTTTCCAATTAAAACTACAGAGTTAAAATAAAATTATTGAATCAACCTAAAAATGTAATAGTAAAAAGAACAAACTATTTTATTAATATAATAATACTTTTTTATAAACTAAAATTTTGTTAATAGTCTGTTATTGTGCTGTTTGCATTATTTTGTAGATTTTATATAATTGTAATCAAGTTCATTAGTATTGAAAAAAAAATGTTTTAAGCTTGAAAATTATATTTTTATTTTTTGTTATAATAACTTGAGTGATTATTATCCATTACTTAATTAACTTTATTGTTATTAATACAAAATTAAGTAAATTATAATCTTGATAATAATTAATAAGTTAAACAGAACTAAAATAAAATTCTAAATATTTCATAAACCATCTCTACATCTAAAAGTGTGTTCCAAAAATAGAATAAGCAACAAAAAAAAAATAAGCTAAGAGTATCTTATAAAAATAGAGACAGGATTGTAAGTCAAGGATATAAATATTAATGGCATTAAATAAATCAGTAAATCTGATTCAAATATTATTTATAATATCACTTTATTTAAAAATAAAACATTGAGTAACATTTCTTTAAGATTTATCACCATTTTAAGTTTTTTTTTTAAGGTAGCCCTTAATAGCACATATAAGACACATTTAAGCATTTTTTTTTTTTACCAGAAATTAAAAAATGGCAGGTCTATCATTATAAACTCGTGAAAATTAGAGGAGAAGGTAGAATCATGGTCCAGTCTTTAATATGATCCATTCATTAATTTTGCGAACAAGCTGCGTCTTCCATCAACTAACCCACAAATATATTGAAAATTAACTTCATGACAATAAACAGAAACTCCGAAAAGTGACAATTGGAGATAATTTATTAGAGCAAATGTGATTGAGTAAAAAACCAAAAGTGACCCATAATCCTACCTTCTCTATATATTTTAATTATTATTAATTCAATTTAATCTCTCAAAATTACTGAACTAAATAATTATTTAGATTTTACAGTTATTAATCACTAATACAGTAGCAATTTACCTACAACATTCATTCATAATACATAATATCAATATTCTTAACAAAAGAATTTATTTTATCTAATTTTAATGCATAATCACTGAGCAATAATAATAATAATAATAATAATAATAATAATAATAATAAATGTTGATTTGAATTGTTTATTATAAATATTTATTCAAACTAATTGAATGACGAATAAATTACTCTAACATCAAACATCCATATTTGTTTCAGCGGACAACGTGCCAGCTGGATATCCAGTAATTACACAATCACCAACAACTAAAGTTGTCGAAATGGGTCATAACACATTACTTTTGTGTTCTGCCGTTGGTTCGCCTCCACCAATAATTTCCTGGGTTCGTGACATGATACCTGTCAATACATCTAACCCCCGGTACTCCGTCCTGGAGTCTGGTAAGTGAATTTAAAATATTGTTCATTCATTGACTTTTCCAACTTTTCCTTGAAAAATATGCATGGAGATATTTTGTGGTAAAAATATGTCCTTGGTCTTGGGACCCAGATGCACTTGTTATATTTTCAGTGCGTAAGTCACTGTCATGTTGGAACGGGCGATGATCGAGTGGTCATATGATACTCAGTAACATCCAACATAACTCACTCAATGTACCCATATAACGTATGTGTTTCTCTGTACTTACTTTTCCATGCTTTTTGTACACAAGTGTACAAAGTGCTCTTCATGTCTCGTTGTAATGGACTGGTTAATTACATCCAATAATGTAGTTGGTCGTGTAAATATTCTATTGGAGAAGGTCTCCATTACTAATTAGCTGCAGTTGGAATTCCTTTTTTTTTTTTTTTACATAATTTACTAAAATACTTCATTCATTTATTGCAAGAATAATTAAATTCAATGCTGATTATTGGAAAATTCATTTCAACAAAAAATTTGGCTTTAAAAAATGAACATTAAAAATGAATTGGAGATGATAACAGTGAAGATCAATTATAATTCTAGATAATACCTAAAAAACATCAGAAATAAAAATAAAAGTAGTAATTAAAGTCATAACAGTTAGAATATTGATTTATTCAAAACATATTATAGTTATGTTCTATATTCCAAAAAACTCTTGTTGCTCTCTGCTAATTGACTAATAGCTTGATCTTATAACTGATGAAGCCATTAAAAAGCCTGTTGCTAACTTTAAAAATAAATGGTACATCCACTAGACATTTCATATATGAAAACATTTGTTTCTAATCAAGGATACTCCAAGCTCTAGACATACTATTTGAATTTTCTACCTTCCAGAAGCGAAATACATTCAGGAAAGATACTAAACTAAAAAAAAAGCCTTTGGTGTTAGATATAATATTAAAAATTGAATAGATTGAAATTAAAATCATTGCATTGCTTCAGCTTTTCTAGCAGAAATTGATACAATATTTCAATAAATATGTGAAAAATAATCTTTAAAATAAAATGATGCTTTGTTTTGCATGAAAAATGAATTAAAACTCTTTCTTCTATAGTTTCATAGAATAAAATATTCATTTGTTAAAATCATATTTGTTCATAATTCTAGAGCTATCAGACCGTTGTTAATTTTTTTATCAACCTAAATCTCATTTATTCCTGTTTGGTATTATCCATTATCCATCTTCATATCCATGCACATTGAAAAGTAGAAACATCAAATCCAATTCAACAGTTACGCAATTAAATCGAATAGAAAAAAATCAACAAAAAAACTGAAAAGAAGTTTGAAACTATTCTCCTTTATTACCTCATTTTAAATTTATTTTCAAAATATCAAAACTCATTATCATTTTCTTAAGTACAGTTAATCTCATGAAATCGCTAAAGACTTGGCAATTCTCTGTTGCGAAAACAATCTGCACAATAGAGTCTAGGTTTACACCTGGCTCCATGGTATGGAATGATCAACAGTAGAAAGCTCTTATGAGAAGAGTCATTTATAAATGATGATATGCATTTTTTACCTCAATAATGCCATAACATTCCAACTTCGTTCGATTTTCATTCCTCGTCAAATGAATTCTCGTTCATTTTAATTGTCTGATTATACCAACCAACAGATTTTGCACTTAAACCCCATTTATTCAACAGTGAAATGCTAATTCCAGGATATTTTCCAAACTAATAAATATTCATCGGGTTTACTACCCAATTTGTAATTTATTTACGATCTTCATGCTGTTTATTATTGATATTTGATGATTGGTGAATCATACTGTATAATTATAAAGATCGAAAAGGCAAAAACTGATTGTGAAAAGAATTTAGAGTCACGGTATTTATTATTAACATTCCATTGCTCAATGAAACATTGGAATGAACTATTTACATTGAACTCAATAAAATGTACTGGCTGAGGAAAAAGTTCTTTTGCTGTAAAATAATAATATTGATTTAGTGAAACACTATAAATAATTACACTTTTCGCTACAATTCAAGTGAACCATTTTATTGCATTTTTTTTTTTTTGCTATAAAACTTTTTTTTGTTGATGGTGTATAAGTTTTTTTAACAAAGTTATTAGCTGTCAAGGAAAAAATGTCACTTTCAACTTTGAGTTTTATTAACTCTCTAAAAAAGCATAGTACAACAATGAATGAGGCATCGTTGAAAACCACAACTATTTCCCACCTGATTCTGCTGTTTCTCTTGGTCAAATTCTCTTCAACACTAACATTCTCTAGTCAAAAGATAAATTCCAAAATGACTTTCTCCAACTATCTGTCCAATGGAATTAATCTTATCTTGGAAGTTAACAGTTTTTTATCCTATTTAAAAAAAAATTATAAAGCACACTAAAATTAATTTATATAGAAAGCTTGAATCTTAGTCTAAGTATGCAATTAAATTTATTCGTTCATAAGTCTTATTTATAATCCACATTCACACGCCATTAGTGACATTTAATGTTTATTGATGGTATCAAGTGATGGGTGTCTAGTAGTATCGTCCAAGTCACGACGTGATAGACAGCATGACATGAAAAAATGTGTAACTGAACAGCTCGACATATCGCTACGTGAGCATTCTGCCATGTTTCTAACCGCGTCTCTTTTTCTCTTTTCCTCTCAGCTCATAGTCTAGTCGAAAGTTATCCACAGGTTTACTACATGGAACTTAGTCGTTTTAGCCACCAAAAGACACACGTACGTTCAAACGTATCCGCAACGGCAATTTTCGAGAAAATTGTTGCAAAGAAATGTGACAGGAAAGCTCGTTCATAGCAAGACGTAATCGACTAAAAAACTGGTATAATAGCGCGTGTGCTTGTTATAGAGTTGGAAAGAATAGTACAAAAAATACCAACATAATCTAGGAGTTGAGCAAAGGTTAAGAAAAAAATCTGGGGATTTAATTGGCTTTACATGAAGTCTATCATTGAAAGCAGATAAACTAACTTCCTATGCTTAAGAAAGAGAATATAAATAAAACAAGTGTGGTAAGATAATATGGTAAAATAAAATAATTTCGAGTTTTGGGTTTTTTTAAAGAATTTATCACACTGATAGAAGAGATTTGTAGTAATAAAGGAGGCTTTTTAAATGTTAAAATATTTTGTAATAGTCGTAAAATTATATCTTAACTATTAAACATAGCTTTTTTACAGCACAACAAATATTTTTTTAACAGTTAATAAATCTTCTTAATTATTAAGGAATCTAATGTAAACAATATAATTCATATTTTATTGCAGATTACATGGTTTTTTAAATATAAAATGATATAAAATTCAAATGAGATTAGGATTTGGTTTTATTTCATGCATGTTCCTGTTAATAAAAAATATGCATAAGGCAGAAAGTGAGGTTATAAAAGATGAATTGAAAAATATGACAGTTCTGGTTCTTATAAGGTGAGGTGGCATTATGAACTACGGTTAATTAATTGTTAAAAAATATTTCTTTACAATAAAATGAGATTTATTCATTATAAAGTCACTAATGTGTTCATAACTAAGGCTTTTTTATTGTTATGAAATATTTATAAATAGTTAAAAAACATTAATTTTAATCATTAAAAAAATCGTTTTTTAACATTTATAAATCTTTTCTATCAGTGCATTTTTGTAAAATGAACGGGTTAATAGATGGACACCATTCTGAGTAGGAAATATGATTGAAGCATTACTCATTCAACGTCTTCAGTCTCGATTCAATTTTGGAACAAAAATGAACTATTTTTACTTTCTTCTAGAGATTTATTACATAAACGGATTTTTAAAACTATACTCTCTAAAATTGAATTAGTGGTTTTTACCACTATATACACTTCACTAGTTCATCCAGTGAGCTTCAATTTTTCAGTTAAAATTGTAGCTCCCTGGATGAATCAGTAAAGTCGATATCGATATTTTATAATTATTTATCAATGTGAAGTTTCGAGTGCATATAGTTTAACCAGAAAAATTAAATAATGTCTATGCATTCATTGATTAGTATATGTATATTTTCAATGTGAACAACAAAACAAAAAGTTCTGTGTTATCTCAAATTTTTACAATAGCTTTGAAAAAGTACATGACTCTTTTAACATGAATTGATATTATGTACATAATAATTCCTTATTCTTAATTTACTTTTTTATCTTAAAAATTCATCTGTTAGTATGTTAAACTTTCATAAGTGAATAATCATAAGAAATATTATTCAATGAAATCAAATCATGATTTAATAAAATAAAAAAATACAAAGTTTAAAATCAGAAATATTTTGATTATAACTTGATAACAATTGTGTTGTATTTTTATAATTATTTACAATAAAATAGAAAAATTGATTTTTTTTTGTTAACAAACAATTTCTGTTTATGAATTTCGGAAATCTAAACAAAAGTTTCAATATCAAAATTGAATAAAAAAAATTTCAACTATGATAAAATTTTTGTATTTTTAGAAAATTATTCAATTGAAAAATAGTCCAACTAGATAGAAATTCACATCAAATTTATAACTAAACTAATAATAACTAAACTAAAGTTTAAAATAACCGTAGAAAAAAACATCGTTATTTTACATTCAACGAAATAAAAATTTTAGTTTTTTCATCAATTTATAAAGTTCGACGCTATCAAAATTGAATAAAAAAGTAATTCCAATTGCAATATGTACAATGAAATATAAAATATCGGTCATTTGGTCAAATTTTTCAAGTAAATAAGTTTTGTTGAATAAATAAGTATTTATTTATAGTCGTTATAAAGAATGGAGAAATGGTCACGAAAATTCAACTCGATGACAATTTTTCAGATCCGTTAATCCAATTTTGTCAATTGATAAAACAAAATCATTTTTTAAGTAAAAATAGTTATTTGGGGCAACATCAGAGTAGCTATCAATATTAAAAACAATTTTCATCATAATGATAAAATAAGAAAAATGACAGTTGAAATATCTGAAAGGTTGAAATTT